CCCCGGCCCCGCCACACGCTCGCCGCCCCTTGCCCCCACGGCAGCCCTCCGCTGGGCCTTTGCTCCCTGCCCCGGATCTCCCCCAGGCCCCAAGAGCTGGTCCAGAGTCCAGGGCTCCCCTGCCCTGGACTCAGGGCTCAGGTAGCGGGCAAGGAGCCTGCCCCGCGGCGCTGGGGTCTGTCTGCCCTAGGCCACGAGCAGGGCACCTCTCCCCACCCAGCACCCCGCGGGCGCACAGGCCCCGCCGCGCTCCTCCAGCCAGGAAAGGGTTAGCGCCTAATCCGGCTCCTCCAGCCTGACCGCCAGTTACCTCGAGGAGCCGGAGCCCCTCGCTGAATTCATGAGCTGGCTCGGGGCGGTGGGAAGGGGCGGGCCGAGCCGGTTGCCCTGGCAGCCCGCGATGGGGTGATGTCTCCGGGCCCATCGGACTGGGTCTCCCGGCGGATTTCTCCTCCGTGCAAACACGCCATCGGCGCGGCCCTTTCATGTCCTGGCCCCGTCGACCCACGCTCACCCCACGGCCCCAGGAATTCCAGCGCCAAGCCGCCTCCGTCTCCGAGCCTCTTAATCAAAGTGGCATTAAAGAGCTGGGAGGCGCGGGGCCCAGCATGGGGGGGGGGGGCGGGTCTGGGGGGTTCGGGTACCCTCGCCTGCGCCCTCTCTGCCGTGCAAGCGCCAGGATCGGTCCTGCGGCTCCTGCCCACGGTGTCTGCTGGCAGTGCCCAGGCTGCAGGGCCCCCTGTGCAGCTCCCTGCCTGGCCCCGGCCCCGGCACTGGGCGTCCTCGGGGCTAGGGCCTGGGACGGATCCCCGGCTGCAGCCCGACCCCGGAGCCCCTGAGGAAGTGCAGCTGGTGCATAGGCCATGCTGGGGCCTGGCTGTGGGCTGGGCGCTGAGCACTGGCCTGCAGCAAAGGGCAGGACCCCTGCGCAGAGCCCCAAGGGCACCCGGCATGGAGCGGCAACCTGCTCCGCGCCACCACGGTTGCAGGAACTGGGCCCAGCCCGCAACCCCCAGCCCGGTCTCCGTGCAGGGACGATGTGCAGCCAGTGCCCGTCTCTTTTGGGTTGATGGGGTGGCCCTGGCCCGCATGTCGCCTCCGCCCTGCCGGCCGCACATCCCAGCTCGCTCCGTGCAGATTAACCGCCCAGCTCAGCAGGAGGAGCTGGGGGCCCGAGCTGCCCCAGGCCCCGCAGAGCTGACCGCCCAGACGGGCACATGCAGCAGGGCTCTACATGGGGGGCAGCGCCCAGGACTGCCTCGGCCTTGCCCGGGCGTGCAGAGACAGGCACGCAGCTCCCTGGGCCCCGCCAGCGCCAGCCTCAAGGGGAGCAGGCATCAAGGCCGTGGCTGATCTGGGTTGGCCCCAGCTGAGCTGCCAGGGAGGAAGCAAGGCAGTGCCAGAATGGGGGTGCCCCTGTGCAGTCTGCACCCCCCAGGCCAGCTACCCCCATAGGGCTGGCACAAAGCCCTATGCCAGGTCTGAGAGTGGGGTCTGGGCCCTGGTCTGCCCCTGCCCAGGGGCTTCGTGGCACTGGCAGGGGCTGCAGGGGCCACGAGAGCCTTTCGGGTGCACCCGGCACAGAGGCTGGGCCGGGCCCTGCTGTGTGGGGGGCAGAGCCCCCAGCCCCACATACAGGGACAGGCATCGCCTCCCCAGACAGCCCTCCCTGCCCAGAGACCCTCATCGGGGCCTGGTCCCAGTGCACAGCTGCACCAGGGCACGCTCACAGCCTGGCTGGGGCCAAGGAGCAGCACCCACAGCTGCGCCCAGGGCCGTGGGACCAGCTCCCCGAGCTGCTGGGGTATTTAGGGCCTTGCTGGGCTGCAGCTGTGGGGCTTGGGTAGCTGTTGCAGGGCTGGGCTTGAAGCTGTCTTGCTCTTCCCTGTTGCATGCCCCAGGCCGGTGTGAGCACATGGCCCCCGCTACCTGCCCCATGCAGGAAAATGCCAGGGCAGGCCCCGCTCCCAGGCCATGGCTCAGGGGTCCCAGGCTGGGGCCTCACACCACCTCCAGGTGAGTGCAGCGGCCTGGACCTGGGTAGGGGGCACGGCCACGCCAGCAGCCCCTGTGCCCTGCAGCGGCCACAGGGCTTGGGGGCAGGAGGGGGCGAGGGTCTGGCTGGGCCTGAGCAGGCGGCCCCTCTCCTTGGGGAGCCGATGCCCGGTCTGCCCCCGCATCAGACGGGTGAAGGATTTTCTGTCCCTTCCCCCAGCCCGTGCCCTGCGAATGAATTGTGAATGGCTCTCCGGGAGCCCGGGGGGGCCGGGGTTGCGTGATCCCAGCTGCTGCTGTCCGTGAAGGCTGCTCTTCTCCCAGATGCAGTTACGGAGCGGCTCTGCGCTGCAACCGTGAGCTCGACCTGCCTTCCCGATCGCTGAACGCGTCAAAGGCACGGCATGGACCCGCCTGGCAGGTACGTGCCCACTTGAGCCTGGCAGCTGCCAACACGAGCCGTTCCCAGCCGCGCTGCGGGGCGCAGGGCATGGGCAGGCCTGAAATGCAACAGGGGTCAGGCCTGGGCAGGACGCAGGAGCTGGGCACGTGCCCCGGTAAGGCAGGGGCCAGGACCCTGCCTCGTTGGGGAGCCATGGGGCGGGGTGCCTGCCCCCTGGGACCCCGACAGTGACCTGTGAGCATGCCGGTGTCTGCAGGGGCGTCTGAGGGCCTGGCTGCACTCGTCGGCCAGAGCCAGGAGCTCACGGACCCTGCCCTGGAGTGCGGCCATGGGGTGGTTCAAGCACCAGGTGGCTCGGGCTGCCGGGGGGCAGCAGCGTGTCCGTGCCAGCAGCTGCTTGACCGGGCGCCCGGCTGGCCCAGGAGAGGTGCCACGGGGGTCAGGCTAGTGGCTCCCAGCCAGGGGGGCTCAGCCGGTGGGAGCCCCGGGGGAGCTGCCCCCACCGAGGGCATGGCCTGCTGCCGGCACCCCTTGACTCCAACTCTGCCAGCAGCCGCCTCCTGCCCAGGGACGTGTGGCGCATCCCCAAGACCCGCGAGAAGGGCTGGTACCTGGCGCTCATGGCCCCCAACGTCAAGGGCCCCGGATACTGCTGGCTCGACCCCTCTCGGCTCTACTGCAACCAGCAGGTACCGGGGCAGGGCCCGGCATCCCGCCGGGAGCTGGCATGGGAGGGGGTCCCTGCTGCAGGTCCTAGCCCCACGGCCCGGGGGGCTCTGCGGCCCAGCGTGCAGCAGCTCTGCCTTGTCCCCAGGGCCTGCAGGACTGCATCACCGACCTGCTGCAGCCCTTCTGGGAGGACCCCATTGACCTGGTGGCCGGCATTGACGCCATGGGATTCATCCTTGGTAACCCCCTGCCCCCGTGGCCCAGCTCCCCTGGGGAGGTTGCTACGTCCGGCGTGGGGCTGGCAGGGTGGTGCCCGTGCGGCCCCCCGCCCTGGCCCCGCTGCCCGCTCCATGCCCATGTCCCCGGGCGCTGTGCTGTCCCGTCCAGGCGCAGCCATCGCCAACACCCTGCAGAAGGGCTTCCTGGCCATCCGCAAAGCCGGGCACCTGTGCGTGGAGACCTACACGCAGCCCTACACCGACTACTCCTCGCGCCAGAAGGTGATGGAGGTCAGGACCGACGCCATCACCCCAGGTGAGGTAGCAGCCAGCCCCGCGGCTCTGGAGAGGGGCTGTGTCCATCCCCAGGGCACCTGCGGCCCTTGGCTACAGTCTACCAGACAGGGGCTGGGGAGGGCGGGCTGGCGCGGGGGCACCTGGCACACGGAGCCCCCTCCCCAGGCCTGCGCGTCTTGCTGGTGGATCAGTGGATCGAGACGGGGGGCACCATGCAGGCAGCCATCCAGCTGGTGGAGCAGCGGGGCGGCATCGTCGCAGGTAGGACGGGGCCCGGGGATCCCCGGCCCTGAGCTCAGCACCTGTGTCCCGATGACTGGTAAGGGGCAGCAGCTCGGCTGCAGGAAGGCCCGGCGGGGCCGCTCCTGTCGGGGCCTGGGCACCGAGTGGGGTGCCGGCTCCGACGCAGCCCCCTCCTTGCAGGCGTGGCCGCCATCTGCATCGAGGACAGCGAGGGCGGGCGCTGGATCCAAGCACAGTACAAGTGCTCACACTGCGTCCCCAACCACCTGATGCCCCAGTTCAACCAGCACCAGCTGGAGTCCTTCAGCACCCTCGGGATGAGGCACAGCCTGGTATGACGGCGCCCGGGACCGGGTGCACGGGAGCCTCAGCCTGGAGCACCCAGCTGCTCCCGCCCGGACCCGCCCTGCCCTG